AAAAAAAAAAAAAACCCTCAGTCGAGCGCATGCATCTGGGACGATGATGATTTCCATTCCCATTGCTGTGTGTTTATCCATAACATTTATGGCACTTCCCAGATAAGTGTCACTTCTTAGCACATTTTGAAAGCAGGTAGTGTGAGTCCGAGTCTGTTCTCTAAAACTGCTTTCCAGCAAGAAAGGGCTGTTGGAATTTTGATTAGGGTTGCTTTGAATCTGGGGATCAAATTGGTTTCATTGGTAGTTTCACAGTATTTTCCAGTCCACAAGCAGAGCACTTTGCATTTAATTAGGTTTTGTTCAGCAATGCTCTGTAGTTTCCGAAAGATAGAGGCTGAGGTGGGCAGATCATGAGGTCAGGAGTTCAAGACCAGCCTGGCCAACATGGTGAAACCTCATCTCCACTAAAAATACAAAAATAAGCCGGGTGTCATGGTGGGCGCCTGTAATCCCAGCTGCTCAGGAGACTGAGGCAGGAGAGTCGCTTGAATCCGGGAGGCAGGGGTTGAAGTGAGCTGAGATAGTGCCATTGCACTTCAGCCTGGGCCACGGAGCAGACTCCATCTCAAAAAAAAAATTATATCCGTTTATTTAGTTGTTTAATTTTTGGAAGCTACTTTGTAGCTTTGGTATCCAGTTAACTCATGATTTTTATCAGACCACATGCCTGCATTCTAGAACGTTAGAATGGGGTATTTGGAGATAAGTGTGTGTGTGTGTGTCTGTGTGTGCGCACGTGTGTGTGATGCGTATGCACACACAGATGCATACACACATACAGGTGCACATACATAGGTGGATACACACACACAGATGGACACACATACATAGGTGCATACACACACATAGGTACACATGCACACGGGCATACACAGGTGCAGACAGGTACATGCACACACAGGTACATACACACCCATAGGTGCATACACACAGGTACATACACACATAGGTGTGTGCACATGGGCACACAGGTGCATACACACAGCTGCATACACAGATACAGGTGTGCGCACAGGTGAATACACATATAGTGCATACACATACATAGGTGCACACACACATAGGTGCATACACAAGGGCACACATAGGTGAATATACACACATTGGATACACACACACATGGGTACATACGCACACGGGGCATACACACATGGGTGCATAAACATACAGGTACACACATAGGTGGATACACACAGCTGCATACACATACATAGGTGCATACACACAGGTACATACACACGTAAACACAGGTGCATACACACACATAGGTGCATACACAGTGCATACACATAGGTGCATACACGTGCATACACATACAGGTACACACATAGGTCGATAAACACATAGGTGCATACACTCACAGGTATATATGCACACGGGGCATACACACACAGGTGCATACACACACATAGGTGCATACACACACAGGTACATACACAGGGCATACACACACAGCTGCATACACGCACAGGTGCACACACACAGAGACTCAGGTGTGCTCATCTTAACGTTTCATTAGAATTCATAACAAACATGTTACAGGACAGGAAAGCACCCAGAACCCTCATGGCGGGAGCTCAGGGTTTCTGAAGCTTTCCTGCGGGAGCCTTGAGCTTGCCCAGGGACCGCATGTCTTGTATCAGGAGCGTGCCTGTCTGTGCTCCGCTCTTACGGCCTTCGTGATGGTCATCTGTTCGCATTTTCTTAGTCGGGAGCGATGAGAATCTCATGTGAGGAGGAAGGAAGGTGTGTCACCTTCGAGATTCTGCCACCGCGGAAACTCCGTGAGGAGCCTCGTGCCTCCGTCCGTGGCCTTCTGTGGACAGAGGGAACCATGACGTTTCCTGAGATGAGGTGGACACATTTCGAATCCACTGGAGCCCGTCCTGTTAGGGCCTGTGAAACAGCGAGGAAGCCGCCGCGCTCTGCGCCCGGCACCTGCGGGGAGAGGACGGGAATTCTGGGCCATCTTCCTGTGTCGTGGCTTTGCGTGTTACGAGCTGTGCTTTTAGCTTTGGATGTTCAGAAAAACACGTTCTCACAAAGGCTGGGTCGCCGTCGTGAGCCTTTCAGACCCAGGATTTCACAGAAGCACTTCCGTGTGCTCATTGAACACACATTTTTATCCTAAAACAAACGGTCTGAACACATGTGTGTTTACTGAGGATGAAAAGGGGAGAGATGTCTGTGAACATTTGCATAAAGGTCTTCTGGGCATCGGAGGAGTTTTACAGGCTCATGGTGCGATGGTGTCCCCATGAGAGGAGAGCGGAGATTCGGGTGCCGTGAGGGCCTTCATCGGCCCAGGTGGCAATGTTGTCTCATCCATGTAGGGGTGTGGGGGAAACGGGCTGACAACAGGCCTCATGAATTCCACGCTGCCTGTGGTGCAAAA